AAAATCTCTCAAAAAATTTCCCTGAGCCCAAATATGGGCCTAGTTTCACCCGAATCCCAACAAAATGCCTTAGATCAAACTTTAATGGTTCAGCCAAACCCCTCTTTTTTTTTAAAGCTAAACTTTTTCTTTTTGTAGGTCTTGCTTGGCACTGGGTTTTTCGCCAATTTGGCAAAGACTGTAATTTTTGTTTGCATGGTTTTTTTTTTGTAAAAAGAAAAAAAAATTTTGACTTTGAAAACTTTTTTTTTATCTGTCAAAAAAAATTTTTTTGTTTGGCAATGATTCCCTTCTCCCTTGGTCTGGCACGGAGCTCTATTTATAGAGTCCTAGCCATACCCTGTGCCTGGGTGAGTAGCACAGGGCTTGGTAGAGAGGGCTGCCATGTACAACACCCCAAGCACTAGCCCTCTCTCTGTTTTGTCCAATCTTCTCAAGCATAGGGCCTAGCATGTGGCATAAGGCCATGGCAGGGGTAGGTGGTGCCAGTGGTGCCGTGCCGTGCACGGCACCAAGCATCCCTTGCCTCTTTTATTCCTTTTTTTTATTTTTTATCCCTTGTTTTTTTGTTTTTGTATTTTTCTCTTTTTTGTATTTTTTTTAAATAAATAAATAAAATAAAATAAAAGCTTCGGGCTTAAAAAGATAAAACTGGCCTCGGGCCCAATCAGAATTGGGCTTCAAGCTTGATTGAATTGAAATTACGCCTGAAGTCTAACTGAATTGAAATCGGGCTTCGACCAAAAAACTTCATATATCCAATAAATTTTAAACCGAAACTTAATAAAAAATTCGGATAAATTTAATATCTACATCTATTAAAATATAAAATTAAAAAAATTTTATATTGCGTAAGTGAATCTAGACACTTATAGTTAATCATTTTAATTTAAAAATTAAAAAAAATGAACTCTTACACTAATATATATTTGTAAGATAAAATAGATAATTAATTTGTTGTTAAAAAATAAAGACAATTCGGGCTCCAAGATCACAAGATTTGGTCTGCTGAAATAATAAATTGGTTACTAATGGGCCACTTACATGTGAACTGCGTTGCCCATTTGCTGAACAAATGAGGACGATATGATTTAGACCCGAAACTACCCTCTAGGATACGACAAACATTGATTTCAAGCACACGCAATCTAATTTTTCAAAATTTGTCCGGAACTTCAATTCCATCGAGCTTATCTTCTCATTGATTTGCATGCGTGTTCCGGGTTTGCATGGTTTCTTCTTAAGAGAGTTACTAAAGCAAAAGAAATTTAAATTATATGGTTTGCATGGTTTCTCCAATTTTGCATTATTATTTTTAATAAAATTATAAAAAATATTAAAATGTAAAAAAATAAGATTTTGTAAAAATTTTGACTTCAAAAATTTTAATGTCAATATAATAATTTTAAACAAAAATACCAAAGTCGGGATTCCATTTAGACAAAAAATTGAAAAAAAGAGACCAAAGAAATAGAGACAGCAGACTATACAAAAATGTAATGACAAAGATCATAAGAAAAACAGACAGCCGAACCCACATTTCATAAGATGATTCAGCCCATCCAATCTACATATCCAAGCGGCCTACTGCCTAATTAAACAACAATATTCCCCTTGTATAAAATAAAAGCAGCAAAAGAAGAAAAAGAAAAGCAACAGCAACACAAGTATACTTAATCAGTACTAATCCTTTCATTATCTTTTATGTTCTGCTGCTGACCCAATTTACCATTCTACCTACATCCCAAAAAAGAAAAATTATAAGAAACAATTTTCCAAATTCTCATTCTATTAAAGTTCTCTAAAATACTAAAAAAGTTTTTCTTTGTTATAGTATGTATGTATAGCTCACCCGTCCACCGAAGCAGGGGGACGACATGCGCCTTTGCTAATTGGAATAGTGGAGCCGCAAGAAGGCCCAATTGGGGGAATAGGAACCTTGTCAAGTGCCACACCAGCGGCTACCACTGGCTCTCCATTCAGTGTTCTTGCTGATGCCATCATTGGAGCCAAAAATCCACTCAAAATCATCAGAATGATCATGATCATACTTGAGCAATCTTAACAAATTTTCTGTCCTCCATTTTGAGAAAAGAGAGAAGTTACTAATTTAGAGAACAAATTTAGAGCTATAGAATTCTTATACGGATGATCGTCCAAAAAGAACTTTCGAAACATGCCTAGCTCAACCACACAAGTTGTTGTATTTATAGGCAGGGAGATACCCAATATTCGTGGCATAGAAGAATCTGACTGACGTGAAACGATTGACTAGTATAGTATTTGTTTTGCTTCTGTTATCAATACTACTACATCGTTGACAATTCGCAAAAAATCCAAAACAACTAGCGAAAAGTATTTTTCTTTTTGCTGCCAATTATACGTACGTTAACTTCAAAAATCAAATTGAATACGGAACGTATACTTATAGCAAAAATATTTCATTCAAAATTCACAAAGTTTTCTGTTTTAAACATTTTTAGTATAATTACCATTTTTTGAGATTTTTAATGAAAACAATCAATATTATTCAATACTAAATATAGTATAAATTTATTTTTAAATATTATATTTTAATATAATGAAAATATATTAATCGGTATGTCCAATACTAAAATAAAATTATCACATTGGTTCTAGTACCTTGAATTTAATTTGTATAAACCACAAAACATAAGCTCCCCTCCACCTCCTCCCAAGCCTTCTCAGAGAAGGGCTTGATGAAAAAACTAACGAAAACATATAAATTAAGCTCAATATGCTGCATCCAAAGAAGCAAAGTTAATTAATGTATATGGTTTTGCATGCTATATAAATTTGCAAAGTTAATTAATAGTACGTTTTTTAAAAGGTAAAAAAAAATTTAATAATCATCAAATTTTTATTATTTTGTTGTAATTAATTAAACTATTAAATATTTACTTTTATCAATTGAATCTTTATTAAATCAATTTACATCCAATCAAGGCTCCACCGATAAATTGAGATTATTATATAATATACCTGTACAAACAAGAATAAAGAAGTTTTTAGATTGAGAGAGATAAAGGGAGCTAGCCTTGAATAAAGATGTTTTGTTGGTGCCATTTTTGGCTGGTGGGCGGTGCCTGATTCGTACTGGCGTACGCAACTATCAGGTAAACCACTATACTTTCGCACGATTTTGATTGCATTTAATTAGGAAAAGCTAAGGTCGACAAACTTTTATTTTTCATTCTTTATGAGACAAAAGTTTGTTTAGTTATCATTATCGTATCAGCGAAAGGGTTTTTTTTTTCTCAAGAGCAAAAAGAAAAAGTCATGCAGTATCTTTCGAAATCGTTTGGACTCTTTGAATTGTTCAGTTTTCTTTTCTCACACTGCCTACTACATCTCTCCATATTCTGCTCAAGCGACAAAGTTAATACTTCAAAGTAATTTTTAACTATATGCATTTGTTTAAAATTTGTTCGTATCTATTGATACGAGTTCTATTGGTTAAATCAATATTTATAAAAAAAAATTAATTAATTAATTAATATTTTGTCCTTTCTGAAATTTAGAATAATATATATTAAAAAAATGTTAAATAAATTAATTATTATTAACCATTGTCGATAAGCCTCCATAATCAAACTTAAACGAAAATAAAAAGAAAGTTAGAAATTCAATATTCCATGTGTTTGAATGATGCTAGATAAACACAAATTTAATTGGACTTGAAATTTAATGTTATTACGAGGAATGTTAAAATGTCACATAAGATAATTCGGCTTTGCCAAACAACTAATCAAGTTTATAATTATTTTATCTTTATACTATTTGTGAATAATCAAACCATCCAACTATTGGACAATCCCTTTTATTGCAACTATAGTTGGTAAAACTGAACTGAACCCGAAAAATCTAACTCACTCAAATTTGAATTTGATAAAATTTAATTTGATAAAATAAATTAATAATCAAAACTCAAAATTATTCAAATTTGAATTAATTTGAATTTAAAATTA